AGGTTGACTGGGAAGGACTGGAGGACCATGGCATTCACTTATCCCATGTAAACCAGCACCCATTTGGAACATTCCAGATATTTGTCAGAGAAAGAAAATATTACAATTTTCATCGTGGCATGAGAAAGGGGTAAAAAACAGTAAGGAAAGTTCCATATCAAACTATAGAATCAGCAACAATACCTTTCTTTAATATAAGTAACTAAAGTCCATAATACAGGAAAAATTTAATCCCAATCAACTGAATCTAGAAATACCTACTTGGTCCCACAATTTTTAAATATCAGCACCCTCAAATGCCTATTGCCCAAAATTATAAGCTATTGTTTAAAACTGATGAATCAATATCCCTCCAAACCATCAATTGGGAGCAAGATCTTTCCATAAATCCAGATAAAACATTCTGGACACGATACGCTTAAACACCTTCAGAAAAGCCCAACTTACAACTTGTACAGTACAAAATTCTCTACAGAGCACACTATAGAGGACAAAGGTTGTTCCAAATGGGCCTTACATACTCAGACAAATGTGCCCATTGCAAAGACAACTCTGCTGAGTACTATATGCATGCTATATGGTCCTGCACACCTGTCAAAAGGCTCTGGATATGTGACGACGTGGTTTAGTTGCTGGATCCCAACCTCACCCAAGCTGTCCATCTTAGGGGGAAAAAGTGAACTAGATAAGTAAACACATCACATATGTTCCTTATGGATTGCTAAGAAAACTTTTCTCATGAACTGGAAGTCAAAAAACAGCTTATGCATTAATCAATATAGAAATTTAATTCTAGATCACATCAGTCTGGAGACAATGTCTGCCTCCTCAAAAAAACCCAAAACTGATTTAATTTGATACTGCGTTTTGGAGATGAGAGGCGGTGGTGGTTCCCATCTTTCAGAAGGGGGACCAGGGGGTGTGCTCCATCTATAAGGGGATCACACTCCTCAGCCTCCCCAGTAAAGTCAATGCCAGCGTGCTGGAAAGGAAAGTTCGTCTGTTAGTTGAACCTTGGCTACAGGAGGAACAAAGTGGTTTTCGTGCTGGTCGCAGAACACTGGACCAGCTTTCTACTCTTGAGGATACTGGAGGGTGCACGGGAGTTTGCCCAACCACTACATGTGTTTTGTGGAAATGGACAAGGCATTTGACCGTGTCCCTAGGGGTCTCCTGTAGGAGGTGCGTTGGGAGTATGGGGTGTCTGGCTCGTTGCTACGGTCCATCCTGATGAAGAGAGAGCTGAGTGTTAAAGTGACGCTCTCCCAGGGTCCCAGGGGTGTGTTACTGTTAGAGGCCAGAGTAACCTGTAAGAGCTGCTTATACTGATGTAGATTTTGACCTATACTGTTTCACAAAGGGCGAAAAATTGAATGTCCACTATAAAAAAAAGTCATTTAAGATATTTTAATAAAGTAATTTAGCAGGATTAAAGCAAAAGCAGGCTCAAATAATATATTAAAAAACAAAACAATATTTAAATCACTTGAATTATACTTATCTAATTAACAGACTCCAACCTAATGCTGATTCTGTTCTGATCTTTGAGAGCAGAAAGCTTAAGAAGAAAATGGGCACATCCAGGTCTGAAGATGCATTTATCTCTTTGCTCTGCATTGATAATATTAGTCCAACAGGAAGGCAGCATCCTTTGGAAATCCGATCCCCCGGGAATACAGTGAAAATCCAAATGTTCCCAAACTTATAATCCAGCAGAAAAACAGTGGAAATCCAAATCCTCTATAAATTATAATCTAACACAACAAAAATGAGCAGAGAAGAAGCAAAAAAAATAAATAAATACAAAACCAGGTAGTGATGACATCTTTAGAGATGCTATCTGGCCTCACACCTATTGTGACGTCCTGTCACATTTAATCACCTGATGCTCAGCTACACCCCCCTCTCTCTCTGACCTTTAAATCACTTAATAACATTTCTTCTTTTCTGTGTTGTATTTTAACTTGACTCGTCAATAATTCCAACACATTTAAACATTCATAATGAGTATCCTTCATTATACATCATTATACTTCATGTTTCATTCATTTTAGGCTATGTATCTTCAATCACTAGCTCAGTCCCACATGAACATATCTCCTTTTAATTAAAATACATAGAATACTAATAGTTGATTATGCCTAAATTTAATCAGAATATAATCAAAAATAGATCTAATCAAAATGTAATCAATAAAGTTAAAAGAGAATGAGAATGAAATAGTTCGAATACCTGAATCCTGACCTTTTACTGTGATTTGGTGCGTATATTTGACTTCTGTGCTGGGACTGTTTGAGCCATTAAAGAATCCACCCAGATGAGAGAGGGTTAGTGCTTGGTCAGGATGACTAAGCAAATATTTAGTGTCTGATCTATGATTTAGTAAAAAAAAGTTTTTACTATAGTGAATATGTTATGATTGATAGTGATAAAGAGTCATGATATTCATATGTGAAAGATGAGAAGAAGTAATGAGAAATCTTGTTGAAATAAATATTCGTGTGAGATCACATTAAAGCACAATATAGAAAAGAATAACGCATAACCATTGTGATGAAGTGGTTTTGATTTTTTACATTTTGATTTTTCATGTGTGTGAAACGTCACAGAGAGAGAAGCAGCAAATTTTCTTTGTGATGAGGCGTAAACACTGTCTGAAGATCCAGCTCTGGAGTCCACTGTTAGAAATTACAGCAAGAAGTGCAAGAGGAGCAACCACCACCCGAACACTGTGGAACCACAAATTGATCTTATATTTTTTGTCTTTTTCTCTGGTCATTTTTGCCACGTTGCATTAAATCTTCCAAGTTTTTGGAGTATATCTACATGGAATACAAGTGTACATGATAACCTGTATTATTATTATTACATCATTCAAAGGGTAGTGGCCTACCTTTTGAATGATGGTCGTCACTGATGATACCCAGTTAGTTGCCAAGTGCACAGATTTAGAGGTGAGCTGCTGATAATGGGTGTGGCTGAGGGGAGGGCTTGATTGGAGGCCCATCCTGGCCCAGACATGTGGGATGTGGTTGCCTGCTCAAGTGTCAAGCAAAACCCCCCACGTGTCATATTCTAAGCAGCAATATAACTGTTAGACCAGAAAAGACACTCTGAATGTGAAGCAGGTGTTAGCAGTGAGTCCATCGGCTCAGTGCCCAAGTCATTGTTTCATTTGAAATCAATAGAATATTGCAATTATGCCATTAGCTAAGGATGGAAAGATGGCCGTGACGTAGCAATGATTACACTTCTACAGGGAGTGCAGAATTATTAGGCAAATGAGTATTTTGTCCACATCATCCTCTTCATGCATGTTGTCTTACTCCAAGCTGTATAGGCTCGAAAGCCTACTACCAATTAAGCATATTAGGTGATGTGCATCTCTGTAATGAGAAGGGGTGTGGTCTAATGACATCAACACCCTATATCAGGTGTGCATAATTATTAGGCAACGTCCTTTCCTTTGGCAAAATGGGTCAAAAGAAGGACTTGACAGGCTCAGAAAAGTCAAAAATAGTGAGATATCTTGCAGAGGGATGCAGCAGTCTCAAAATTGCAAAGCTTCTGAAGCGTGATCATCAAACAATCAAGCGTTTCATTCAAAATAGTCAACAGGGTCGCAAGAAGCGTGTGGAAAAACCAAGGCGCAAAATAACTGCCCATGAACTGAGAAAAGTCAAGCGTGCAGCTGCCAAGATGCCACTTGCCACCAGTTTGGCCATATTTCAGAGCTGCAACATCACTGGAGTGCCCAAAAGCACAAGGTGTGCAATACTCAGAGACATGGCCAAGGTAAGAAAGGCTGAAAGACGACCACCACTGAACAAGACACACAAGCTGAAACGTCAAGACTGGGCCAAGAAATATCTCAAGACTGGTTTTTCTAAGGTTTTATGGACTGATGAAATGAGAGTGAGTCTTGATGGGCCAGATGGATGGGCCCGTGGCTGGATTGGTAAAGGCAGAGAGCTCCAGTCCGACTCAGACGCCAGCAAGGTGGAGGTGGAGTACTGGTTTGGGCTGGTATCATCAAAGATGAGCTTGTGGGGCCTTTTCGGGTTGAGGATGGAGTCAAGCTCAACTCCCAGTCCTACTGCCAGTTTCTGGAAGACACCTTCTTCAAGCAGTGGTACAGGAAGAAGTCTGCATCCTTCAAGAAAAACATGATTTTCATGCAGGACAATGCTCCATCACACGCGTCCAAGTACTCCACAGCGTGGCTGGCAAGAAAGGGTATAAAAGAAGAAAAACTAATGACATGGCCTCCTTGTTCACCTGATCTGAACCCCATTGAGAACCTGTGGTCCATCATCAAATGTGAGATTTACAAGGAGGGAAAACAGTACACCTCTCTGAACAGTGTCTGGGAGGCTGTGGTTGCTGCTGCACGCAATGTTGATGGTGAACAGATCAAAACACTGACAGAATCCATGGATGGCAGGCTTTTGAGTGTCCTTGCAAAGAAAGGTGGCTATATTGGTCGCTGATTTGTTTTTGTTTTGTTTTTGAATGTCAGAAATGTATATTTGTGAATGTGGAGATGTTATATTGGTCTTCACTGGTAAAAATAAATAATTGAAATGGGTATATATTTGTTTTTTGTTAAGTTGCCTAATAATTATGCACAGTAATAGTCACCTGCACACACAGATATCCCCCTAAAATAGCTAAAACTAAAAACAAACTAAAAACTACTTCCAAAAACATTCAGCTTTGATATTAATGAGTTTTTTGGGTTCATTGAGAACATGGTTGTTGTTCAATAATAAAATTATTCCTCAAAAATACAACTTGCCTAATAATTCTGCACTCCCTGTACAAAGGGTACCTCTAAGCTGCTATGAAACATCTTGTTTGCTTTATATAAAGCCAAAATTTTATTTCTGCCTGTGTCTATTGTATTGGCAGCCTTAGCTCTCCTGTTTATTGACATGTGTGCTTTGATGCTGTTTGTCTTTTTAACGTTCTGTGTTGTTGTCTTTCAATAATTCTCTCAGATGGCCCAGGGAGGAGGTCATAGGACTCTACTGTATGGACATGCTGTGCTCCTGCGACACTCTTACAGTGGAATGGTCAGTGACACAGACTACATCCAAAAACATAGTGCAAAAAGATCCTTTTATCATGAATGTTGTAACATTGTTGGGAATAAGAAAAAGAAAAGCCTTTCATTCATCCCTCTGCTAAGGCACAATGTTTAAATGTTCACGCACAGTTCTAGAGGTTCAGTGAATGTACTGTCATTTCTTGATAATTTGATTGATAAAATCATTTTATTTATTTGTGTTTCTCTGTTTAGTACCTGTGCTGCCTGTCCACTTCGCGTTCATCTACAGACAAACTGGCTTTTGACGTGGGGCTGCAGGAGGATACCACAGGTATTCCTTCTTTTGTACAAATATCTGCACCACCGCTAAACGAAATGAGCGTGTCTCATTTAAAAGCTAAAACAATGGAAAACAATAATAAATAAAAACACTTCAGATAGTCCTTGTTGTGTAACACTGTAAAATATTCAGCCTGGCCCAAGTGAAAATATTTGACTGCTCACACGATTGCATATAATCCAAAAAGTTGACTTTCTTTAAAAATTCACCAGTTGTGAATTTTGGATAAAGGAGTGTTAGGCAGAGTGTAAACATCAACTAGCTTCAACAAAATAAAGTTGTTATATGTTAAATATCATATACACCCCCCACACCCTCCTGTATAGCTGTATTAGCGAGAACAAGTTCAGCAAAACGTCTGTTTTGTGTGTCATGCTGCTGTTTGCTTTTATTTTCTTGACATCATTACTGGAATGAAACTCGGTGTTATTATAGAGTCTGACTGCTGATAAATGAAAGCTGCTGTGGAGAAACATAATGCACCACACCGAGATCTACTGTCTGCCTTATTGTTGATCTCTCTTTTTAAAAGTCATGGAAATTACAACAGTTTCGGGGTTGAACCAAAGTGGTGCACACCCAGCAAGGAAATGGACACAAGTTTGTTTTTCATGGACACATCGCTGCTTTATCTCCTGTAATACTGATGATGATGATGATGTGTGTGTGTGTAGGCGAGGCATGCTGGTGGACCATCCATCCAGCATCAAAGCAGCGCTCGGAGGGAGAAAAGGTTAGAGTGGGAGATGATCTCATCCTGGTCAGCGTCTCCTCTGAAAGATATCTGGTCAGTAGCAGCTGTGTGCGGGAACATGCCAGCAAAGACGAACTCAGATCTTGATGTTGCTTGCTTTCTTTCTTCATGTGGCAAGACGTGTCCTAGTACTAGTAGGATTTACAAATTATATTTACAGCAGGCAAAATAAATATTGAAGACGTCACCTATTTTCTAAAAAAATATATTTCTAAAAGTGCTGTTGACAGAAATTCTCAGCAGAAGTCAGTCACATCCCATCCAATCTGTACATGCCAAGAGAAATCAAACCATAGATGTCAATAAATTAAGTTTTGCGTAATAATAAAAATTGACACAGTCTTTAGTTCTTTCCATAGATTTTCAGCTGGATTCAGGTCAGGTGATTGGATTCTAGCAGCATCATCGTCTCATTGTCCTGTGTGAAACATCCTTATTTAATGTTCATCATCCTGGTAGATGGCAGCAGATTTTCTTTTTTTAATCAAGAATGTCTCCTTCACTTATATGAGGCATGCTAGTGCCATATGATGAAGAACTGCCCCATACCATGATACCTTTAGCAGTTTAAAAATTCTTCTGTAACCAGTACCTTCTTGAGAGAGCTCACTGGTTTTACCCATCATGAGATGTTTCATGTATGACACCTGTATTTGTATAGCACTTTACTTAGTCCCTATGGACCCCAAAGCGCTTTACACTACATTCAGTCATCCACCCGTTCACACACACATTGACAGACTGGTGATGGCAGCTACATTGTAGCCACAGCCCCTGGGGCGCACTGACAAGGCGAGGCTGCCGGACACTGGCGCCACCGGGCCCTCTGACCACCACCAGTAGGCAACGGGTGAAGTGTCTTGCCCAAGGACACAACGACCGAGACTGTCGGAGCCGAGGGCTCGAACCGCCAACCTTCCGATTACAAGACGAACTGCCAACTCTTGAGCCACGATCGACCCATTAATAGTAGCTCTGGTTATAGTGCAATAGCTGAACCAGCTGAAATTAATTTGCACCAAGTGGCAGGATTCTGTTTAATTACTGATAGATTCAGCAGTTCCATGCCTTTTTGCGCCTTCCTTTCTTCATGTGTTCAGTACGTTTTCCCATGTCTCTCTTTAATTTTTTTTTTTTTTTTTTTTTTTTTTTTTTTTTTAAATGACATCAGAAACAGCAGTATGCGACATTACGTGATGGCAGAGCTTCAGTTCATCCTTTGTCATTTTTTTTTTTTTTTTTTTTTTTATTTTTTTAAGAAATAGGACAGGGGGAATGAATGAGAGAAAGAGGGGGAGAGAAAGAAAGAAAACCAAAGGGGAGAAGAGACGGTGAGAAGGGGGGAGAAAAAAAAAACAAAAAAAACAACAACAACTCCTGGGTCACCTGTATGGAGAAAAAAACAAAAAAAAACAAACAAACAACAAAAAAAACAAACAGAGGAGACAGCAAACAACAAAGAGCAACATAATAATAGAGAAAACAAAGCACCATCACAATAAACTAGCTAGTCATAGATATCAATAGTTACTGAATAATAAACGATATTGTGCAGCACGCAAGATAGACAGCGCACAGTGTGCTTTGAGGCAGCAGCCAAGAAAGCTTTAGTCCGCGTCTGTGAATACCCATGTCTACACCTGTGTGCATACCTGTGTGGATCAGCATGCTTGCATTCCAAAGGTTTCTCCATGTAATGATCTGCTAGGGAGTGTGGGGGGGCCACAGCCCCGTCCTCCAGGGTGTGAAGCGGGTATGGAGGAGATCAAAACTCCAGACATCCAGAGGTCCCCAGAACACAAGAGACCACGGAAGACCAACAGAGGGGCAGCCGCGCCACTGTTCCAGTAAGAGCTGAGGAGAGTCCCAGATGAGGGCTCGCCCAGCAGCCGCGGAGCAGAAGCCAGGGGGAGTTGCAGTGACGCGCCCGTGAGCTCCGCCGGCCCCCAGCTGTGCCTGAGTGACCGAGCCCCAGGCCGAGAGGCCGGGGGCACCCCACCTCCAAAGGGGGCCCGAGCGAGCCCCAGGCCCCAGGCCCCGACAAGCGGCCGCCAAGGAGTGAGCCGGTGTGTACCCGGACGCCCACCCCCAGACACAAGAACCACCAGCACACCGACACCTGAGGGAGTCCGCCACCGGCAGGGGAAGTGGTGGTGGGTAGAGATAGGCCTCCAAACCTTGGAGGGCCTGAGGTGTCCCCAGAGAGGTGGCGTCTGATACCCAACCTGACATATAGACACAGACATACAGGCACACACAGACACAAACATCCATTCCCACCCTCATGCTCTCATGTGCACTCACTCCACACTCAACCAACATGGAGATAGACATAAAGAGACGCTGTACACACAATCACACTCCCCAAGCGTACTCTACAAACCGGGTCTAGGTACCCTTGCCCCTGGAGGGGGGAATTGCACCCAGACCCAGGTGGTGTTACCCTTTTCCCTGCGGTGGGGAGAGGCAGACCACCCCGACTCCGCAGCAGCAGGGAGGCCCCACACCCCAGACCGCAGCCGGACGGCCAACTCCTCCTACTAGCCCTCCCGCTCCAGCAGGCCGCAGAGAATGTGGGAGAAGACTCCAAACCTCCCTCCACCCGCTCATTGTAGTGTTGATGCATATGTGATCTAAGGTGCAATTAAAACCCAGGAGGGCATGGAGCTACCTGCCAAGGAGCAGCAGGTAAGCGCATAGTCCCTCCTGCTAGCCCTCAATGACTAAGTGTATTTAAAATTGAGAGGTGGGCAAGGACGTCAGGGGTGAGGTATACACCCTGATGGTAATTTGGACTCCGTGATTGTGCCCACCCCCAAGATCCTATATGTATGTGTAATGAGAGTGTGAATAATGTGAATGTCTAAGTTGTGGGATAAAATTGAGGCAGAGGCAGCCAGAAGGGGACAGAGGGGGGGGTAGCCTCCTCTGCACCCTGGTGACATACCCCTACTCCAAGGCCCTGCATGTGTGGGTGGTTGTGAAGGAGCGGGAAGAGGGAGGCAGCTGGAGATTTTCTGTTATTACAAAAATTTAATTCATCAATAATCATTCATCATCATTTATTTATTTATATAGCACTTTAAAAACACACCTGGTAGACCAAAGTGCTGTACAATACTAATATGCACATAGTAATAAAACCAGACATAGCAATAAAAAAAAAAAAATAAAAAATATCAGTTACCCACAGAGTTAAAAGCCAGGGAATAAAAATAGGTTTTTAATAAAGACTTAAAAACTGGCACTGATGCAGCCTGTCTAATATGGAGAGGAAGGTTATTCCAAAGCATCGGTGCTGCAACAGAGAACGCTCGGTCTCCTCTAAGTTTCAGCCGTGACTTTGGGACCGAAAGCAGCAACTGCTCAGCTGACCGAAGGGAACGAGTGGGGACGTGGGGCTTCAACAAGTCAGACAAATAAACAGGTGCCAGACCATTTAGAGATTTAAAAGCCAATAAAAGGACTTTAAAACGGATCCTGAATTCAATTGGAAGCCAGTGTAAAGAGGCCAAAATCGGAGTGATGTGATCAAATTTTCTTCTGCCAGTTAAAAATCGTGCCGCAGCATTTTGCACTAATTGCAAGCGTGACAAAGTGCCCTGCCCAACCCCTGTTAAAAGAGAATTACAATAATCTAAACGTGAGGTAATAAAGGCATGAATAACGCTTTCCAAGTCACGCTTGGAAAGAAAGGGCTTAACCTTTGATAAACGTCTGAGGTGATAAAATGCTGATTTTACCACCCCGTTTACATGGTCATCAAAGGTGAGTGCAGAATCAATTTTAACTCCGAGATTTGTGATCGAACTCTTTAGTTGGGAAGTCAAAGCTGCAAGATCCTCCCCCCTTTTCTTGGGGTTGTGTG